GAGAAAGTTAAAGTTTATGAAATCAAGGGAAATCTTTATCACAAAAAAATACGACACGCTTATGAATTTTCTTTGTGTTTTCCTCATGAATTACTAATGAGTTTTTGAAATCTGTATAGTAATTGAATTTCACGACAAATTTTAAAACACTCCAAATAAAACACCACTAATACTGTACAATTACAGACTTTACCAGTTTACCTTATGTAGTAAACAACTAGGCCATTTCCGGATTACACTCTATAGTTATCAAGAACAATATAACACCAAGGCTTCGTGCTCAATTTGCTATAGAAACATTACAACTTTGCACGGAAATGGTCAATTGTTCTATAAATGACACAGACTTCAGATAAATAATTTACACTTTTTCGTCCGCAACCACAGAAATTTCACGTCAAATATTGTTGGGTCATATGAAATACCGTATGATAGCAGCTGCTCTACCTTGTGTAGCAGGGGGTAAAGGTCGCCTTATTTCGCCTAATTTCGCATAATGTCGGCCATGTGAACCCAATTTTTGAATTTTGCCTAACAGTCCATTCACTTAATATCGCCTAATTTTGCCTAATGTCGCCCAGTTTTGTCCGGCGACGCATTCTACTTTTCCTTGAAAATTGCCAAAGTCGTAACCCCGTTCAATGTAAAAAATTTTCGTAACCCCCTTCAATGTAAGTGAAAATTTTCATACCCCCCTTCTATCATTAATTCTGTTTTAACATTAGTTTTGCGTTTACCTATATTTCGAAACTCTGATAAATCTCCCACTTCTTGTAGTGGTGACCATATCCTCACCATTTTCCGCAGTCTCCGATTTGTCACCAATCTTTTCTGATTCTGACATACTAAAGATGGGCTGAGAGTAAGAACAAATTAAACAGAAAAAATTTGTTTTTGGTTTATTTCAAACAGAAAACGTTTGCTTCCATTCAATGTGACACTTTCTCATCAGTTCTAATGCTGGGAGCTCGCTAGCATTGACAAGTTCAGATGTATCAGATTTGTACTCCAAAAGTTCCACGGATACTGAATCCTACTTATCATCTAACATTGAGTCAGACTGAAACATATATACTTTGTGTTGATTTAATAATAATAGTAAAACAATTCTTTCCAGACTCAAATCTGGGCACAAATACATTTAATACTCAACAATAATTACAAAATGTATTTTTTCCCGTACCTATATATAGTACTAAGGTTTCGTACCCCCTAGAAGTTCTTTAGATTTTTTCGTACCCACCTCAGAGTTCTGGGGTTTTTTCATATCCCCCCCAAAAAAAAAATATCCTCCACACCCCCTAGTAAATACTTTATGACCGATCCCAATTAATTTTAAAATGTGAATATATAATAAGTTTCTGCTATGCATCATTGAAATTGTGGGTGTTGTTTCACTTCGTCATATACATGCAGTTAGTCGATAGAACTTCGAAATATTCAATATCTATAATAGTACTATGTAGTGCTACCGCGAGCTTCAAGACGCCGTAAATTGTGTTGATCATCTAACAAGAGATAAGAGCTTCATAACCTATGATCATGGTGATGCTTAGAATCTCCGCATAGAAGCATTTTGTGCAATCAAGTTTCAATAGTCAACGAAAACACGACAAACGTAACGGTAATTGATATTTCTATTTTATTTAGAATTCTTTATGAAACCTAGGCCTATACTACAATTACAAAATGAAATGGTATTTATAAGCGATACATGCAGGAATGATGAACGGTTGTGGGAGAACTCTAGGGAACTGAAATATGTAGGATATCAACACGACGTTAGTGACGCTGCCGCTTAAGTTTGGCAGAAAGAATCAGATTATTGCTTGGTGTTGAGTGTGAACTTTTAGCTGTAGTTAGGCGATGGGTTTTCAGTTGAATTGGATATGTAATGTACAGTAAGGTGTCAATGACTATAAAAAATTACATAATTTCTTAGATGCATGTGCAGACAATATTTCAAGAATGGAGAATAAATAATTATTTTGAAATATGTGTTAATTATTATTATAGATTGTTGTAGTCAGATGATTTTGAAAAACCACTTTTATAATACTCTGGTTCCACAGGTTCTTGTGCTGCCGTATTATTTCTTTACGTAAGTATTTTTATAACGATTTCAAACGACAATTATATATGGCAGGGCATACAAATTGCTTACTAGTTGCTAGAACTAAATTGTTATGCCATGCGTTAAGTCTCCTAGTCCTACGCGTCATTGAAATTATGAGTGTTGTTCCAATTTGTACCTGATGCAAATCCCAATCGCACAATTAGAACTAAGAAATAATATTTATCTGGTAGGTTTTCAAGGCTGCAAAATTGTGTTGATATTCAACCACAAAAGAGCTTTATTAATACTTTGTTTGGTAGCCATAAACTATATAAACTCGTTTCTACCGATATCGATCTTGCCAAATCTGTAATATTAATCAACAACAGTCAGGAAGGGGGAGGGGTTATTCTCGCATTTCTAACAAGGGGAGTGGGCTCACTTGTAGAAATTAAAATAACTCAATTCGTGGGAGGTAAGCTAATGGTGAAATAATCATACGGAAAACTAGGATTCTGGGCCCCAGATTCATGTGAATCAACTATTTTTCGATACATTTCATTCCTTTTCACAACGGCCAGACCGAGCCATGCAGACGAAAGCCTGGTTTCCATATGGTCGTAACTGTCGCAAACGTGTTGTAACTGTGGTTAGAGTAGCGTTCGCGACCAAATAGAAGCATGAAGAAAACTCTTGTTGCGGCACGCTGGAAACAGTCCACAACATTAACAACAGTGTCGTCGAGATAGGCTCGAGTTCTATCTCGACGACATTTGCGACAGGCTAAAAACGTATCGTGACGGTTATCTTTTCATGGAAACAGAAAAACGACAGCGCGGCAACAGTTTTGCGACAATCAAGGTGGGGGGGGGGGGCAAAGCTCGCTTCGGGGGACCATGTTTGTAATCTTAAAATTGCCGCCGGCTGCTTGTACGACCCCTGGGTACGAAATTAACTTGAGACAGCGTCACGATAGTTACAACCATATGGGGACAAGCATAAAAATCATTCACGACAAACACATGACGACACGTTCGCGACGGTTAGAACCATTTATGGAAACCAGCTTTTAATCTGTAACCACAAACAACAGACTCCTTGGATTTTAGTTGCGCTGAGCTGTCAAACGCTTAATTATAAAATGTGAATATATAATAGGTTTCCTGCTATGCGGCATCATTGAAATTGTGGGTGTTGTTTCTTTTTGTCGCGAATTCGATATATACATGCAGTTAGTCGATCCAACTCAGAAATATTCAATATCTAATAATATCATATGTCGTGCTATCGCGAGCTTCAAGATCCGTAAATGATGTAGAGCTTTAATAATAATCCACCTTAAGTAAAAAATACAGTGGACTTACAAATTCATAAACATTATAAAACCATCTATATTACAATAAAAATTTATATTTTTAAAAAGGTTCAGTTGCCAAAGGCACAGACGACGATTATGGCCTTCAGTTCAGAGAATAATGCAACCTACATTCAGCCTAAAATTACAGAACCGTCTATTACAGTAGTAATTTAAAGTTTATTATTAAAAAGTCTAACTGCAATAGGCATAAACGATGATTTGTGTTTATGTCTTTCGGTTCTGGAAATAATGCGACCTACATTAGAACCTCTTTCTTTAGTTCTAGTGGAATAGTCATGCTTCTGTGCGATAAGGACAAAGTGGTGACAGGGATGGTTTACGTCCTGAGTAATTGCCTCCATTTCTCGAAGAGTTAATTAGCTTATCTCTTCTCTCACTAAGCGGGGGAAGTGTACCGACCGGTAAACAAATGATACGTAAGCTTCTCCTTTGAATACGCTCAAGGTCGTTCACTAAATAGTGAGGTAGGCCACCCCAAACTGGTGCGGCATATTCAAGCAGTGGACGAATTATGGTGCAGTAAGTTGCCAATCCTACTTCAGTAGGAAGGTGAGCCTTCCTGCACTGCCTTAGATGACACAGTCTCCTGTTTCCCTGACGAGTAATTTCTTTGATGTGAGAATTCCATTTCATGTTACTTTGACAGCTAACACCAAGTAACTTGAATGAATTAACTCTTTCGATCATAACATCCCCGATATAAAGATTGGGAGGCTGTGGGATAGATTTCCCAAAGCAAATCCACATATCTTTAGTTTTCTTTGCGTTCAACTTCATTCTATTAGCGCTTGACCAGTTCTGAACGGAGTCTAAGACTTTCTGCATGTTGCTACACTCTCCCTTCATGATGCATTCGCTTTGTGTGCAGTCATCGGCATATTTATATGTGCTCACCTCAAGATCTTCAGGAACACTCGTATTTAAGTCGTCAACGTGGATATTAAATAAAGTCGGCGAAAGAGCAGATCCTTGCGGTACTCCAGCTGGGCAACCCTCAATCGATGAAAGTGTTTGATTTATCTTGACCTGCTGAGTTCTACCAGATAAGAAGCTTTTGATCCACAACCAGAAGCTTTTATTAACACTAATCAATGCAAGATTATTCAACAGGATCCCATGATCACTAGATCAAAGGCTTTTTTAAAGTCGATAAAGAGGGCATGGATGCCTGCTTTGTCACGGCAGGTATTGTCAGTAGCATTAAACCATGGCTGTGTGATGGATATCAGAGCCGATGTAGTAGAGCGGCCACTAGTAAAACCATGTTGACTGGGACGTAGTATGATGTCATTTTGATTGAGTTGTAGTTGTACTCTCTCTAGGATTTTCCCAATATGTGGCAAAACAGAGATTTGTCTAAAATCGTTACTAACGTCAGTTGGTGGGTATGCTTTAGGCACAGGTGTGACCAGGCCATGTTTGTAATGACTTGGATACTTACACTGTTTAATGCTAGCCGTAATGATGTCATGAACAATCGGCGCTAGAACGCTAGAGAATCGTTTAAGTAGCCATGCAGGAACACCATCGGCTCCCGTTGCTTTCGAGTGGTTAAGGTGATTTAGGACGCTCTTAATCTGGCCAATACTAGGTAGAGGGGAGGAAAGTTTTTGAGAAGTGACTCAACTTCATCTAGTTGGGGAATACTTAGGTCTTTCCATGGTTCAGTAAAGGATATTTGAAATTCTTCTGCTAAAGCGGCCTTGCTACCCATGGAGTTTACAGTTAGGCTTTCATGCTGACTACTTACTCCGGACAGATTATAAATTGCTTTGTACCATTTCGCAGGGTCAGATGTGCGGAATGTTTTAGCTTTATTTTGATGGTAATTTGATTTGGCTTTCCTAATCATATCTTCTACTTGTGCTCTTAGCAGATTATACTGGGACATGTTGCCACGAGTTAAATCCCGTTGTCTAAGCTTAATCTTTGCTTTAATATTCGGAGTCATCCAAGGTTTATCCGTGGGATGTAGGCGTATGGATTTCAGAGGCATACATCCGTCTGGAGCTTGACTAATAACTCCATTGAAAATTGAGACTTTGTCATCTATGTCTTCTGCTTCGTATACTGCATCCCAGACAGTTCTGCTTAGTCTTAGCTCGAGAGCTATTATGTTTGAACGTTTCATCGATCGAAATGTTTTAGTTATTGGGCGTGTACTCGTCCGATGTTTTGGATTCAAAAGAAGGCATTGGTGATCCGATCGACCTAAGGGAGGAAGATGTTGCACTTCTTGAAACAGTGGCGACATATTAGTCATCATCTGATCTAAAGTATTGTTCTGGAGAGTTGGTTTCTTAACAATTTTCCTCAAATCAAAACAATTACATAATGTTCCTAATTTCATTTTGTTAAAGTCTCCAGCGATTATAATTCCAGCAGAGGGATAGCTTTGTAGAATGAAGTCGATTCCATTAGTAAGATAATCAATCATAGTTATCTCATTTGTAGCCGCTTTACCTGGAGGATAATAGACTGCAACCATAACAATGCAACTGAAAGGCCTTGGAAATCTTTGCGGTTTCAACAATAGCCACAGAGCCTCTTTGCCTTCCTCTTCCATGTCAAACAAGCGGCTAGAAGGTATTGCAGTTTACATATTATTAAGTAAGTAAACCGCCGCCAGGTGTTCCTCTATCTTTTCGGTACGGAGTATAGTTAGATCCAATAGACATAACTCCATCGTATATGCTGGGATCTAGCCAGGTCTCAGAAATACATATAAGGTCAGGATCATTATTTTCCGCCACTGAGCTGAACTCATCCATTTTATTCAGAATGTGACAAGCATTAGTTAAAAATAATGAAGGAACAGTCTGTTTATTCGTTTTTATATCGGTAGATATCTTGATACAGTTCGTAGGCTCATGGGACCTTCTTCTGTCAGAATAAAGCGTATTAATATGGGGAGTGGTGCTCGCGGTTTTAGAAAATAGTTGTTGTCGATGAGTAATTCTTGTCGGAATCGGCATTTTTATCGTTTCATAGTGCGATGGACAAGCTTCAGGTGATTGATCCGGTCCTGCATGCTTGTGACAGCGACTGCGTGTTAAACGTGTCCGTTTTTTCCTATTGAGCTTTAAAAAATAATTATCATTCTTATACGATTCCGGGCAGCTGATATTATTAACCGCTGAACTGGTTGCAATTTAGGTTTTCCTTCTATGAGAGGCAACCTCTCCATCCAATCTACTGGGAGACATTTATGCTTAGTATTTTTTGACATAGCTTGTATTGGGGTTTTGATGGCATTCGCCGTCATTCTAGCATCTGTTGTCTTCATGGTAGATGTTTGTGAAATATTTTGCTTAGCAGACTTGAGAGTTTGTTGACCATCTAACACGAGGTAAGAACTCCATAACCTATGATCATGGTGATGCTTAGAATTTCCACATGGAAGCATTTTGTGCAATCAAGATTCGAATAATCAACAAAGATACGAGAAATGGTAATATTTCTATTTTATTTTAAAATCTTTATGAAATCCAACCTCGTTCCTAGGGCTTTCGTGTGAGGACGAGCGGAGAGAAGGGAAAGCCGGTCACGTGATATGGGCATATTTGACAGCTACTCGTCAAAGAGTGGCGAAATATTCTTAACTGAAATATACAAGTTTTCGAAACAAATAAACAGCCAAAACACTTCTCAACCGATAGTATTTATGTATATAGCGAAGTTTGGCACGATTCAGCTGAAATCTCTGAAGACAGCATCGATGTTTTCTAAGATATACCGATATTTCTGGCGATTTTCAACCAAAAGCCGCTAAAGGCACAACTGTATCTCAACATGATTTCCAAGCTGTATTTGGGCGTCTCCAAGAGGCGATTCACCGGAAATTTGCTTTCTCTCGTCTTTAAAAATATGGCTTTGCCTTTAAAATTTAGTTTACATCTGCTGTTAGGCTTAGTTCGATATAAATAAACACAAATATAAAACCTCGAGTGTAAACCTAATACGTTGTACAGGAAATATGCGGATTCGCTTGTTTCGATACCAATACTTGCCGTTCAGGAGCAGTGCTTGCCTATAAATTTTAGCCCCTTCACAATCTTTGTTCTATTTTATCGTATAATCGCAATGTTCAAGTATTCGGGGTATTCTGACACTGTAAAATTCGGTGGTGTGACAAGCTAGAGTATATATAAATATTGTACAGACTACATAGCCGACGACTACGCGTGGAGCTATTAGTAAACAGGGCCTAAATTAGTAGTTTCATTTATAGTTGCTTGTCTTGTTTTTATATGTCAGTATAGAATATTGTAAATTAAAGGATTACTACAATGCAATACGCATAGTATTTCATCAGACATCTGCACTACACTTTACTGAAATGCTGTACAAGGAAAACTACAGCTTAATACTAATAGTTGGTGGACGTTTCTTGTTTTGTCAAGAAACATGCGTTCACGTCGACACGGTTTTTGAGTTTTGTAACCGGCCGAGGCGAAAGTAAATCATGCAGTCGGGAAAACTGAAAACGGTCTTTGCTCACATACAATTCACGTTCTTACTTTGAAAGATTATTTTGGAAAACTATAGTCGTGCACAACAATCATAAAAATACATATGTTGAATTGTTTGAAAAATGTTGTTTAATCGATGTAAATTATCTTAACTCTTTTCTGTCTGTATTGATCATATGACTGAGGAAGGAATGGGCGGGAATGTAGTCCGGTAGTTCTAGCGAGTGGGAGGGTTTCAAATAACTCATTACGTGGGAGGGGCTAGTATATATGTTGGCAATAATCATATAGAGAACTAAATTGCTGTATGGCCCTCATCCAGACTCCCGTTAATCAGGTATTTTTTTGTATTTTCTTTTCTTCACCCGTTTAATTTACCAAGTCTAAAAACGATTGTCATTGAAGCGTACATTCTAAATTATAGAACGACCACTTGAAGTGTGGCCAGATTAATCTAACCTGATCTAACTAATCTAAGAACCAGGCGCAAGGCAGTGTGGTTAGTAAATTCCTGAATCCCATTTTTTACAGACTAATTTTGTTTGATTTGCGCAAGCATTAGCATTGGATTAACACTATCAGTGGAATCGGACTATAAACGCGTAATCAACAAACAATTAAGTTCCAAGGGCAATCAGTGTCCATTTCCATACTGACTTAGCTGTAGAAGTTAAGCCAAGTCTTCACTGCGCGCAACTGCATCCCTTAGAATTTTATTTCAGCATTGTTTCTCGTCCTCAAGCCACTAGAATTAACCTCATTCCTACCCCAGCCTTGTCCCTGGGCCTTTTACTACGCCATAGTGCGCAAAAATAGTTAGAGGTATGCACTTTATTTCAACATAGGTCAAGATAATTTTAGGTATTCTTTAAAGCGCTCTAACGCAGGCTAAGTTACTTACCTTTATTTTAAACGGAAGCTTGCCACAATCTTGGACAAAACCCTTGAGACCAATCCAGCCATGTAATATTACAAAGTTATTGACCATTGACAAAACAAACTTTTCTCTCCCCCCCCAGTTCAATGCTGTAAACAACTCCGAAACAACTTGTGGCACTATATCATTACACAAGCTCAACATTGAGTTGGGGGCTTCAGAAGGGCGACATGATTCAGAGGTTTAAAGTGTAAAAGCCACAAACACCAAACCGTCCAGTTTTAGTGCTACGATTTTAGAAGTGAATCGTTAAATTATAAAATTTGAATCTCATAAGCCTCTCGCTATGCCGTAATTAAAATCTTGAGTGTTGTTTCACTTTGTAATTCATTCCAATCATAGAGTTAGCCAACAGAACTGTATATTTATCTTCAAGGTTGTGACGATAGAAAACTGTGTCAGCTATCTACCACAAAAGAGTTGGAATATACCTATGGTGTTGTTAATAATGGGCAATGATCAGAAGTTGTATTCCTTCAATTCTAACACAAATGGAACCATCTGACTAGTAGCAATTAATAAAACCCAGTGCGCGAGAGGTGAGCTATTTGTAGAAATAATCATACAGAAAACTAAATTTCTGACTAAAGCCTCTGATTCCTGTAAATCAGGCATCTTTCGTATCAGTCCTTTCTTTCACCACGATCACGACCAGGTTTAAACTGTAAAAACCTGAAAAAATACAGACCACCTGGATGTTATACAGTTATGTCGAAGTCAAACGTTAGATTAGAAATTTGAATATATCATACTGTGAATATCATATAAGTCCCCAGCGATGCAATCATTGATGTTTTGGGTGTTGTTTCCAACGTTTCACTTAGTCGCAAATGCTAATCAGAGTTAATGAACGGAACTCCGCAGTAGTATAAATCTGGTAGATCTTCAAGAATTGTGTTGACTATATAACTACAATAAAAGAGCTACAATATGCCTGTTGTGTTGTTTAAGCAACTAAACTTTCTCAGCTCTTTTTTTTCTTTGATGATCACAATTATTTGTCAATGATGCAGAGGGTATAGCCCTGCAGTTCTGAATATTTTATATTTTATATATATGTTCGCGACATATTAAATTAACAACATTAATTTTATAGGAAACAAAATGGGTTAAAGCTAATTAATTCTTTGTCACGTATTCATTCACATGCATTTTATGTCGCGTTTTCATGGACATATTATATGTTAACTGCGGCCTTGCACAGGGCCTCTTTAAGAATTTGTCAGTGGAGGGACCGTCAAGAGAAAGGGACCCAACTAGCCAAGGAGGTGGTGAACGGGAAAAGTGGGAACTTGTCCGGCCAAGAAAAAATTTGTATTAAGTGTCTAAAGGCCCTGTCACACTATTGCGTATCGTACTAGCGTATGCCAGCGTATGAAAAATATCACTCATACGCCGGTATACGCTGACATAGGCTAGGGGTACGTTCATAGGTTGTATACGTTTCAAGCACGGTCGCGTACGGTGGCATACGCTGGCATACGGCGACGCAGAAAATTTTTTTTGAGCATGTTCAAAAATTTTGTGCGTATTCGAGGACGTATGCTTTATACGATAAGCATACTATAGGTACACGCTGAATACGCTAGAGGTACGCCAGATGTACGATAATCATACGCTGGCATTTCAAATGATTTTTGTGCGTATGAAAATTAATTCATTAATTTTCATACGCTTGTCATACGTTTCTGTCATACGCAATAGTGTGACAGGGCCTTAAAGACTTGATTTTCGGCAGTTTTAGACACCATTTTTATATGTATTTCATCCGCTAGACAAAGATTTGGTAATGGGAATACTAAAATACTCTTCTTAACTAAGTTATTCTTCCCTTTTTTTGCTTATATTGTAGACAGAAGGGACTTTCACTGGGGGGGAGGGGGGGGGCAACATAGTTCACTGGAGAGGCCAAAGCAGGGACTGGAAGACAAGTCCCCCCCAGTCTATGCATGGTATTAAAAGCGGCCGTTGCTTTGCACTTAAAGCCATGCAAGAAATAGGAACACATATTTCATCGATGCGAATGGAAAAATATCGTACTCGACTGCACACCTGATTTGTCTTATAGGTTTTCAAGATGCCAAATTGTGTCGACTATCTGCCTCGAAAGAGCTTCAATACTTACGGTGTTGTTCTTCTCACGTTATTCGGGTTGTTTGCTGTCGCAGTTATAAGCATCTCAGGTTCTTTAGCCTTTGACACATCATTTAATTGTTATGAAAATACCATTTCAAAGACGAAGGAGGCATCTCTACTAAAGAGCATCAACATAAAATGTTCCCTCGAGTATCAGGAGAAATTCCTCTTTATTCTTCCTATGTATGCTATATTCATCTTGAACTTTGGCATTGTCTTTGCTTTCAGTATTATCTATGCATACTTGGTGAAGCATCGTGTTGAAAAATTTGATTATCCGACCAGAATTACGACTTCCAATGATGACGATGATAAAAATCAAGAGACGCTGCCTTCGTTAAATCCAAGCCAAAACCCGCGTGACGTTCGTGAGTGTTTGGGTCGTTTTTCAACATTTTCCATCTATGTCGTGCATTTGCTTGTTGCTCGTATAATTCCATTGTTGGTATTTGCTATATGGATATTTTGCCAAGATCATTTTCCTGAGAAATTTCCCTGTCCGTTGAGTTCTGAAATGCAAGGAAAAGGCACATCCAATTTTAATTTTACCCTCAATTCACGAAAAAAATTAACGTTTATTGACTGTACAAACCCCATCAGCGGAAAAAGTAAAACCTTGGTCTACATCGTTGCAACAGTGGATGTTTGTCTTGTGACATTGGCCATTTTGGAACTTGGCTACATCACATGGTTGGCCTTTAATGACAGGGATTTTATGGCTGACCAAGAATTTTGTACGGTGTACTTATTGAGAAAGCGAAAAAGAATTAGAAAATTGGTGAACAAAGTTCGAAAGAGATTAAATTCTGATGATGAAGAGCTATTCCAATTAAAGGATGATTTCGGTTGTACTCAAATTTCCATGCGTCCTCTTGATGATATATATGTCGATGTCGTCATTCAAGAAGGGAGAGAACACATGGACGCTTACCCAAGCGAATTTAAAAGAAAAGAAATTTACCAATCCCATCTCAAAACCCCAAAGACAGTTACTAAGCTTACGAGCACAGCTGATATATTTAAACCAATAAATGGCAGGAAGAAACAGACGTATCCGAGGACCATCCTTGTCATAGGGAGACCGGGAATTGGTAAGACCATGTTAACAAGGAAACTGTTATATCAATGGAAAGTCAAAGAAGACGAGTTCTGGTATGAGAAAATTGTAATCTTGCTTCAATTTCGCACATTTAACAACAAAACTGTTTCTCTAAGAGAAATGTTGCGTGATGGTGATGGACTGTCATCGGATGACTTTGAAACTGAATATAATTTTGTATTGTGTAACCCAACTAAAACCGTCCTTATCTTTGATGGATTAGACGAACTTACTGTTGACAGCACGCTTTTGCACACAAAGACAAAGAGAGTTAGTAGTCCAAATGAAAAGATGCCGGTGTTCTCAATTCTTAAAATGTTGATCAAAGGTACAATGCTACCTGGTGTCACAGTATTGACTACGTCACGGCCAACGGCACAGCATGTTTTTCAAGACCTAAATTTTAAACGAACAGTCGAGATCTTGGGGTTTTTTGAAAAACAAATTAAGGAGTATGTTTTTAAATTTTGCAAGAATAATACTAATACCGGTGAACTGATATGGAATCAAGTCAAAGGATCGGACGAACTGCGAAGCTTGTGTTACATACCTGTCAATAGTTATATTGTTTGTTTAACTTTGAAAGAAAGCATTGAAAATGACGAGGATCAATTTTATGAAGGTGTACATAGGAATATCCCAAAAACTATAACTGAACTGTACAAACGAGCTGTAAAAGTCTTATTATATCGACACCATCCAAAATACAAGTTGCAACAAAGGCCGAGCGATTATCTCATCACCCCATTTCCCATAGAACTGGAAAATGAATTGACAAACCTAAAAGAAGTTGCAAAAAGTGGAATTAGTCAAGGCAGGTTAATTTTTGAGAAATCCACGGCCGATAAATTTGGCGACCTGGCTAATTGTGGCCTCTTTCACAAGTTACCAGACAAACGACAGAACTTGTTTTGTTTTCTACATCTGACACTGCAGGAGTTTCTTGCAGCGTCAAAGGTGGTTGATGATATGGCCAATGTTGAGCGTTTCTTGGATGGTCATGTTAATGATTCCAAATGGCATTTGGTGATACAGTTTGTCGCTGGTTTAGTTGGAGATAAAATTAGGCAGGCCAAGATGGCAGCTGGCGTAATAAGTGATCCAAATGTATCCGAGACGCAAGATCCCCATGGTGGTATTAAGGAAAGGTATTAGTACAATTTATAGTAAAATAGGTTTGGTGCATCTGTGATCGAATCCTTGTTTGAGGATTTGAGATGACATCTTGTACTCGTAATTAAGTCATTTTGCCAAACAAATCTCCTCATGCATGGTTAATAAAATTGTCTGAATTAGTAGACAGAATAAAATACATTATTATGTGGCAAGCATCACTTCCGGTGAAATGGCGGACTATGATTGGCTGAGAAGCACATTCAACGGTCCATTATATTCCCGAAATGGACCGGCGGTCCATTACGTAAAAACAAACGCACGCATTTTAAAACAACAACAGCATGGCTAATTGAAAAGTTGAAAATTATAAAATTTGTTATTAATAAGATATCTGCAAATGGTTTTTAGTGAAAAAGTAGGAATACATTGGGGGTTTTTTCTTCGACCAAATGTGCACCACGCTCCTAATATGCATTTCAAATCATGCATTTCTTGCTGTTTCAAGTATAAATGCCTACAAACGCCACGTAATAAACTTTTTATTACCTCGCTTGCTCGACATGTACAGAGAAATATGGACAAACTTGCTCGACATGTACAGAGAAATATGTACAAACCTCGCCCTACGGGCTCCGTCTGTACAAAAAAGACCTTGGTCCGATATTTCTTTGTATAGACTTTACGTTCGATTAATTAACAAGAGGTTAGTAATGCCGGCAGCTGAATGGATTGTAAAGAGATCTAGACAGATGGTCCGCTTTAGGCCAAAAGTCATTCTGTTTCTGGTCAGTTTGTTTGTCCGAAATTGACGCATGCGCGCGGCTTTTTTTTCAGTTGGGCCCTATTGATTAACGTCCAAAAATGTCATTTTCAAGATTAAAATTGTCATACGTTATTATATATATATAGAGAGAGAGAGAGTAAAATAAGAAAGTAGGTGGCATCGGGGAGCGTTGTCCGTGTCCTAATGGCTAACAAATTTAATATTTTTGTGGGGGAGGAGGAGGGAGTGGGCGGTTGGAAAATTTTTCGGTTAAGATTTTTGGAATTTTATGCATTTCTTGCATTCTTGATTATAAAAATAATGTCTTGCATTTTCGACTATTATTGCGACCAGCGAGCATTCTAATCATATGGGAGAGTTTTGTTGGATTGTGTGTTCACCACTTTTTTCCGCTGGATTGTGTGTTCAACCTCCTTTATCCGTATATGTTTATCCGTATATGGAACTCGTGACCATATTTGGTATACCGCATGGAATTGATATTTAAGATTTCAAGATGCGATATAAATTTTAAAGGCGAAAATTGTTTAGGTTTTACTAACAAATCAGCTTTACTGATTATTTAAATGACTGTGTTTACATATCAAATATATTGCTTGCAGCGGTGTATATACGGTACATAGCGTGAAAAAAATAAACGGAAAAAAACAAAGTAATTTTATGTTTACGAGAGTTTTCATGAATATTTCAATATTTCGTTATATACTTTAAAATATTTCTTTTCACATGTCGAGATATATAGCCAACATGCTCTCTCCTTCGCAGAGCCTCCTTAAGTATTTACAAAAAAATTATATAAAGTTTCCTGAAAAAAAGTGAGCGCGTGCGGAGTGATGGGAGATTGAAATGAAAGCGAAGAGGCTCTGCCACATAATGCAAAATAGTATGGTTTTTGAACCAAACTTTTGTTTGACCTTTTTTAAACTTGAAATGGACGGAAATGAGGAAGAAATTGAAATAAATCTTCATAATCTGAGTATCGAAGTTTAGTACAGTCATGAAATGAGAAATGTTGCAATTTAGAGGATATTTATAATTAGATAGCTCATAACCATTTTTAGTATTTTTGCACAAGTGAACATAACAAATCCTACAACCTGATTGGTCAAACTTGACGCATTAAGCTGTTATATTCACCTACAGGTGAATATAACAAAACTGAAATTTTCAAAATGGCGGCCAACGTTTTGCGAAATTTACTGATAAAGAAATAAGCGAAATTAAAGTAAATTCAGTACCAAAAAACACAAAAGACTTGTGTAAAAATACTAAAACAATTATTCGCCTCAGGCTCGGTGATTATCGGGGAATATTCACCTCGACTTCGTCTCGGCGAATATTCCCCGATAATCACCTCGCTTTCGGCGAATAATTGTTAACTATTCATATGCAATTTCTCAATATTTTTCAATTCGGTGCAAATGTACAGGAGAAGATATTCATATTGGATTCACTCCAAGAGACTAAAGTACGCCTGAAAAGGAAAGTGGAAAATATGTTTTAACACCCTAGAAGGTTGATGTCGAACCGAACTCCAAACGTTTATGTACGAGGCCATATTGATTGCATTAACTAGCAGAACATTCCTTTACTTCGCTCTTCCCATCACTCCTTGCGCGCTCACATTTCCCTCACTAGAAACTTCATGTAAACCTCTGCGGAGGAGAGAGGCCAACATGTAAACATGTTTTAGCTCCCAACATTTACTACTGATTCTATAGCAACATGAATCAAAACCTTGCATATGTTTTCTCTCGTACTGATTACGATTTATGGCTAAAAGGTTTTATATAATGCCTTATTGAATTCTGATCGTTTAATTGGCTGTTTATGGTCACGTGATGTTGAATAGAAAACTCCATTTCCCAAGAGTGCAATGGAATACGTTCCATTGCACTCTTTGCGAGTGTTCCACTGCACTCTTTGTGTTTTCGATAAATCGCATCCATCAAAATGTGTGTATTTATTTTAATATTAAATGGTGTTTTAATAACCGTTCTTGAAAAAGCAATATTTGTCTATTTAGTATTATATAAAACAAATAATGAATATTTATTCGTGCAATGGTAAGAATATTTTCATTCGGTGAAAGATGGAATGTTCCGTTCAACTCGGCTGTTGCCTCGTTGAATGGAACATTCCATCTTTGACCTCATGAAAATATTTTTGCCATTAGTACCATTGCACTCATAAACATTCATTATTTGTATGATATATACTTCAAATCTGAATACTGTTCAAGCATTCTTTTAAAAAATACACCGACTGATACGAGTTAACGAATGTATGCAGTGCTGTTTCCTCGTCAGCTTTCTGAAAGGCCAAAATGGACCAGCACGGCCTAGAATTGAAATTTTAATGCACAAATTAGTTTACATCCAAAATTTCACGTTGTTTGGATAGTTTGGTCGTGAGTTATAACGCTTCGATTATTGAGTTTTGGTGTATAGATTTATAGATTTGACTGGAATTTGCTTCTTGCAGTAACACAAAGAAACACATTTTCAAAGTATTATTATTCGCAACCTGCAGACCGATATACACTATACCACGACTTTTGCCAAAAACTGTCGCATGAAACCTGCTTACAACTGTCGCGTGCAACCTGCATGCAACATGGGCTTACAAATGTGTAAATAAAGCGTACAACTCACCTACGACAACATAAGCGAGTTGTGTGTTTAATTTACACAGTATGCAACTCAAGTTTTAAGCATGCGACAGTTTTAGGCAAAAGTTGTTTAGTTTAACTCGGCCTTCACTTTTATTATTATTATTTACAAATATTTAAAAACGGTAACCCTTCAGGGCGCATAGACACCAGAATTTTAACGGGCCGTTTGTTACACACTATTGTCACACTAACTAGTACTAATTAACAATTATTCGTCGAAGGCGAGGTGATTATCGCTGAACGAAAACCGAGACGGAGTCGAGATTTTTAATTCACGATAATCGCCGAGCCTAAGGTGAGAATAATTGTTTTAGTATAATTTCATGGGTGATTATTTGGAAAAAATATTAGAATACACATTTCTTCGTCATTTACTTGAACAAAGTGGCTTGCCGCATTTTGAAAAACTCTTTAGATCATTATCGCGTTATTACCTCATCAGCAACCAATCAGGATGGATAATTTTTAATAATACCCTATGTAATTATGCTAATTCACAATATTACACTATTTACTAATATATTATTTGCATGCACTAAATACTATTAAATTTAAAAACCATAATTAGAAAAGTGATATTGAATCTGGTACTGCCAAGAATACATTTAAATTTGTTAAGGATTATGCCTTTTAATTTTCCTTTGGCTGTAAGCCATTCAAAAGTGACTCAGCTGAGTAAGTAAAGCTCTTTTTCATAAAGCTTGTTTCTGGCTTTCCAAGTACGTAATTGTTGTTATTACTTCGCAAGTCATACCTATCATTAGTTTTAATTTTAAACATGTTTGCTAAATATGATGGCAATGTGTCATTCCTTACTTTGTGCATGAAAATCGTCTTGTTGATTTCATATCGTTGTTTCAATGGTTCCCAGTTTAATTTCTTTAAAGGTAATCGGAGCTTACATCGTATGTTCTACCAGTGATAATTCTCGCAGTTCTGTAATTTAATTTTTGTAGCAACAGTTGTCCGAAACCAAGCTACAATAGTCAAAGTGTAATAACACAATGACATTATATAGCCTCAATAATGTTGATTTGGGAACAAACTGTCTTGACAACATTTTGAATTTGATCGTTCCACGAAAGACACTCATAAATAATGACGCTTAAGGTTTTTTATTTGTTAACCCGTTGGATTACTGACTCACCAAGTCCAATTTTAGGATCAGTTATAATATTTGACAAGCGCTGTCGTGAGCCAATAATGTTATTAGTCTGTTTCTTCTAAATCGTTGACCATTGGGTGTTTGAATGATGTACGATCTAGGTGTTTCCAGTTTGTCTTTGATCACTGCTGGTTTCGACTTATTCCGCACTTGTACTCATACTGCTTCTCTTTCTTGCACTGCGGGAAGCTCCGTGGACCCTCTGTCATAATATCGTTTTTGCTTTCTTTGTTTTTCTTCGAACTTTTCTTTCATTCTCTAAGGATCAACAACTTTTGGCTGAAGTTGATTTTGGGTAGTTGGTAAGTGCGAACGCAAAAGTCGGCTCATCAAGACTTGTGCTGGTGAGGCTACGTCACCTATGGGTGTGTTGCGATACTCCAACAAACTTAAGTACGGATCTTTTCCATCTTGTTTTTCTTTCGATAGCAAGCGTTTCACGATTCGAAGTCTGATGCTCGAAATTCCACTTTTGTGCGAACTGCTTGTACTCCGTGGCAGTGTACTGAGGACCATTATCACTTCTTACGACTGATGGAATTCCATGCCTTGTAAATACGGACTTCATATGATTCACAACAGTTCTACTGGTGGTGGTTTCCAGTTTGACTACTTCAATATAACGCGAATAATAATCTGCCACGACCAGATAGTTGTTCTGTTCCCACTGAAACAAATCAGTTACGACCATTTCCAAAGCTCTCGACGGTATTGTTCCTTGTACCATGGGTTATTTGGGATTCGACATCTGGTATTCTTGGCTGGTTTTGCATTTGGATACAACGGCTTCAATTTGCTCATTCATTCTTGGCCAAAACATAATGTCCCTTGCTCGTCGTTTGGATTTCTCTGCGCCCATGTGACTCTCCTGTATTCTTTCTAGTACCTTTCCTCTCATACTGAGGGGTATGATAATCTTGTCTTGTTTCAACAAGATTCCATCTACTTCTGAAAGCTCGTCACGATAATTCCAGTAGTCATAGATTTCGCAAGGTGTTTGTTTTCTTGTCTTTGGCCATGCTCTTCGGATCGTTGAGAACAGGGTCTTCATGGTCTGGTCAGTCGCTGTTTCTTTCTTGATCTGTTCCAGCCGTTCTTCAGATACTGGCATTCTGCTGGTTACCGTGTACACGTAACATTCTAACTCTTCGTTCATCTTGCTACTGTCCACATCATCATCGGTAAGGTAAGCTCGAGAAAGTATATCCGCGATGATCATTTCTTTCCCAGGTCTGTATTTCAATGTAAAGTCGTACCGTTGCAACCATAATAGCATTCTCTGCAGACGAGGTGGCGCTGACGTTAACGACTTCTTCACAATTGAGATCAGCGGTTTATGATCAGTTTCAACTTCTACAACTCTGGCATATGTGTACTGGTCGAACTTCTCGAACGCAAAAACAGTTGGCAGTTGCCAACAGTTCTTTTTCGATCTGCGCATACCGAGTTTCCGCATCTGTTAGAGCTCTCGAAGCAAACGCGACTGGTTTGTCATCTTGAAGTAATGCAGCTCCCAAACCGCTCTTCGAAGCATCACACGTCACCGTCACAGTTTTTTTCACATCATGGTATGCAAGAACTGGCGCCTTTGTTAGTATTTCTTTTACTTCTTGGAACGCTTTCTCCTGTGCACTTCCCCATTGATACTCCACGCCACATGTGTTTCCGCGCCCTCTAGATCTCGAAAGGATTGACACATTCGTTTCTGGAATACTTCTTGCGCAGACTTGATTCCAAATGGCATCCTTTTATAACAGTAACGGCCAAATGGTGTGTTGAATGTGGTCAGCAATCGGCTCTCTTCATCTAGTGGTATTTGCCAATAGCCATGATTTGCGTCCAGTTTGGAGAATACTCTGGCTCCGGCCACACGCGTCGTGATTTCCTCTATTGTTGGCATCTTGAAGTGTTCTCGCTTGATAGCTTCATTGAGTGGTCTCGGATCAAGACAAATTCGTAGTTTGTCACTGTTTGGTTTCTCTATAATCACTGTCGAATTTACCCACTCGGTTGGACCATCGACTTTCTCCACGACTCCCTTTTCTTCCATATCGTCTAGCGAAGACCTCAGCCTCTCTCTGAGCGCAACTGGTGTACTTCTTAAAGGACTGACGACAGGTGTAATCGTAGGGTCGACCTTGATGTGGTATGGATTCTTTAGGCATCCCAAACCTTGAAATACTTTAGGAAATTTCTCATGAATGGTTTCTGCTGATTGACCAATCACATTGTTCACATTCATGATGATTTTGATCAGATTCAGTTCTTGAGAAGCTTTCAAACCAATGATGGGAACTTGTCCAGTTTTCACCACGAAAAATTTCAATGTCTTGTTGTTACATTTCAGATTGCATTCTCCGACGACCGGTAGATAATCGCCAGTGTAACTTGTTAACTTTGCTGTTGGTCTTTCTAACCGGGTTTGTTTCAGCCTCATCTTCTCGAATGTAGGTAGGGGTATTATATTGGCTTGTGATCCCGTGTCAATCTTGAACTTGATCTCATTTCCCTCGATTGATAAAGTTTTGAAAACATTCTCTTCGTTATGAATTGAATTAACCGCTCCAATAAACAACGGTTCGTCATCTGTACTCGCTTTGTCTACTGCATGTATTTTCTTTGACTTGCAGAATTTAGCGAAATGATTCTTTTTGTCACACTTAAAACATTTCTTACCAAAAGCTGGGCATTCTTTCGCAGGATGACACTTTCCGCAACACGATACTTGTTCTTGATGTTCTTGTTTGTTGCCGCCGTTATGCTTGCAATCACGCCTTCGATTTGCATCTAATTTGTTACGATAATTTCCTGATTTGTTATGTTTTCCTATGGCCTTGACGCTCTGAACATCGTTTAGTACTTTTAGTTGTTCCTCAGACTGTTCGTTTATTTGACATACTTCTAATGCTTTATCTAACGTTAACTCTCGTTCTCGTAATAACCGTTCTCTCACACGCTTCGATTTTATTCCGTAAACAACGCGGTCCCTAATCAACTCGTCCTCAAGAGACCCGAAGTTGCAATTCTTAGCGAGCAATTTAAGTTCAGTTACGTACTGATCGGCTGTTTCGTCGTGTCTTTGCACTCGCGTATTAAACTTGTATCTTTCCATAATCGTGTTTCTTCTGGGTTCACAATACTCGTCAAACTTCGCGAATAACACGTCGATTTTGTGCGTTTGAGCCTCTGTAAACTTCATTGTGTTATAAATGTCTCGTCCGTCTTGTCCGATCACATACCGGAACGCCGCACATTGTTCTTTCTCGCTGGCTTTAGACATGTTTAATCCAAGATATAACTGCATAGTTTCCTTCCATCGTCTCCATCTTTCGGATAACGACAACTGTTCAGTTGTTGAAAAGTTCATCTCTAAAGGAGGCTTCATAAACGGCTCCATCCTGACACCATGTTATGTTATTAGTCTGTTCATTATGCTATAAAAACAACCCTTATATACATGAATCTAATTAGCATGCACATATACTGAATATATTACAGACATAGCTAAAGATGTCAGTTTCAAAATTGTGTTCGGTTTTTTTTTAATTTTGGATATTTAAAAAAATTAATAAAGAGCAATTCACTCAAACAATTCAGAAATATATTGCAGTCGTCAAAGAAATCGCCATATCAGCGGAATGACGAAATAAACAAAAATTTCCGAACACAATTTTTTAGAACAACTATTTTATTGTATAAAAATGATATTTTCATAAATATAACTTAAAACCAGCAGGAGCACAACTCAAAAGCGCAACGGTACCGCGATTTAAGATTTTCCTGAATAATTCTTACATTGTTTTATTGTTTGTTCATTTTACAACTTTACCATATTTTGCATGCACTGGAGAACATTTGGTGAAAATTTGATGAAAATCGGACTGATATTTCCGCAAAACGCCAAAAAGGGTGTCCTGTAACCTTAATTTCCATCAGGGTTGCCAGATTGCTGAATAAATAAGCCAAATATTATTATCATAACCTTTTGTTTTTTTTGTTCGAAACAAAGACATCAAAGGGCCGTTTATAACAAATGTTTGGCTTATTTATTCAACAATCTGGCATGCAACCCTGATTTCCTTATTGAAACTTTTATTGAAACTTATTGAAACTTTATTGAAATTTTACAAGTTTGTGATTAAATTTAAATTAACATTAAATTATATCAATTGCCTGTAGATCAATTTCCATGGCATAGGTGACCGAATAATGAATGGGTGTGGTGGGAACAGGCCACAAACTCGATCGATTCCGTGCATTCCCCAGAAAATTTTGAAATCTTGAGTCTTGTGCTTAATACTTCTCATTGAAAAGGGCGGCTACAAATTTTTCGTAGCATTACTCCTCGTAATCTCGCGAAATATCTTGCGAAATTTCAATCTATGTTATTAAATATATGATGTAATCAATTTTCAATCTTAAGAACATCAAGAGGACTATTGTATTTAGCAAATTCGGCATTTCAATATTATTTTTATTCTGAGACTCAATCGATATCTCGCGAATTTTGTATCGAGATTTTTAAACGTGCATTTGCCATTGTTTTAAAAATACCGCGTATCTCCTTTTTGTCTCTGTGTCATTTCTAGTAGGTTTCTAACCCGACATGTTGTAATATTTCTGTAAATTTATTATAATTGTAGATGGAATAGATTTTGAAAAATTCATGTTGTGCACAATGATGCTGAAGTCACACGTTCATGCAATTAACTTGTGAATGTTTGCTCGCTTATACATCGAAGGAATTTTAACAGTGTTTGATTTTTTCACTATTCTTTTCTTTTTACTTTTTAGTCATTTCACTTTTTAGTCATTCCGTTTATTGCCATTCGACCGTTGCTTAATTATAATCTATTGATATACGGTCTGATTTTGGCTTCAAAATATGATATTTTCTCAATTATAAGGCATGCATGCAAGGCAGCACTATATATCTATTTACTATGCCAGTTCCATAATTAATAACATTTTAACCGCATATAAATCTAGATTAATATTCCAGTTGTCTTAATCTTGAATGATAAATTTCGAAAAGGCGCGGAATTTATGTTTATAATTAGTCTAATTCAAATAATATTTGCGCTCATATTAATATCTCTAAAAAACTGAACATGACGGATATACTAGTGTCGTGCATCTCATTATAATTCTCACAGCCGTTATTCATTGAAATATGATTTTAAGAATATGAAGAATCCTGAGAACCCTTCAGATATATGTTTGAAACCATTTCAGTGAACAAACATCCAACATTTTGTAAACATATATGAAATTTGAATCTTCGATCCAAAAAACAATATATCACTAGCTACTCAGTATATAAAGCCCCCCCTCCCTTATAAAGTCGTGAACAGCTGAACATCTGTCTGTATTTAATATTTTTGCTGAATTAATAATTTGAAGTTGAGAGGCGGGCATGCGAACATCTTGTATGTTTTATTTTCAAGCCCGATAAAACGAGAATATTGATGAAAACTTTGATAATTTTTTATATAATTATTGCTATAAGCTCAGCGAGCAGTTGAGGCCAAATTTGCAAGGAACAAAACGCGCGGGAAAGCATGCCTATATAAGAGGGCTAAGGAGAGTCGCGAAGAGGTTAATTCACTTGTATATATATGCTTTCAAGTCAAGAGGCCAATTCACTTGTATACAGCTATTTCAATTTATTGGTCCTCTCCTCTTATTAACTGACTTTTGACCATTTTCTCAAAAAAAATAAATTGTTATTTTGAGCCCCTTAACTATTGTACTTCAAGACTGCATAGTTTATTTAAAAAAAACAACATTATACAAGGCGAAAAAAGCTTTCAAAGTTACCTTGTTTGAAAATTTACCCCACAGCAACGCCATAGCAACGTATTTAGGGACAAAATTCGCTCAAAATTTCGTCCCCAAATCGCTTCAAACAAGTTCATTTATGTTTCTCCTTTTGGTGTATGGAATTTAGAGTCTTCTGACCTAGCTGCATTGTGTTTGGTTGCTTTGGGGAGCCATGGCAACCCGTTTTCCATGTCTTGTGATCGATGCATTTGCATTATCTGTGAAACTGTCTACAAAAACCTTAGTTTTTTTTTAACATTCCAAGTCGAAAAGTTGCTGTTCTAGTTTCCCAAAGATTTCTTTTGTTATTTGGGTTGTAATTTGAAGTCAATAAATGGGAAATCTGCAGAACAGAAAGAGAAAACGGGTTAGAAAGCCGCCTTCCAAAATGGCAAAAAATTCAAACATGGCGACGAACCTCGTGACAAAGACGCTGGGCCTTCCGGAGCGAAAATTGGTGCCCAGACAGCAAATTTTGGCGTTAATTCTGAAAATATAGATACTATAAGGGAAGGGACAGTATTTATGGATTTATCAATCTTATTTGGTGTCTTTGATAAAATTCTGAAATGTCCTGACTGTGGAGATGAAATAAAGTCACATGTTGACATGAGGAAAAAACATGGCTATGCTCATTATATTTCTTTGCAGTGTGTGGCATGCGACTGGAAGTATTGTTTTAATACCTCAAAGAAGCAAGGACAGTTCTGTGAAATCAATGTCCGAGCAGTGTTGGCCTTTAGAGAAATTGGTATTAAAGGGCACAGTGCCATGACAACTTTGAGCAAAGTTCTCAACATGCCTGCTCCACCACGACGTGCCAACTTCACAAAGATTTAAAATAAAAAGCTTTTACCTGTAGTGAAGCAGTGTGCCAATGATAGCATGGTCAACAATGCTATGCATGTCAAGGGAATTATTGAGAATGATGCTGCAGAATGTGGAATATCCATAGATGGCACATGGCAGAAGCGTGGTTATTCATCTCACAATGGTGTTGTTACGGCAATTTCCCTCGACACAAAGAAGTTCCTTGATGTTGAAGTCCTGTCCGACAAGTGCCAGCAGTGTCTCAAGTGGAGCAAAAAGCAGAATGATCCGAAGTATGAAGAATGGAAAGCCAATCACCAATGCAAGATCAACCATACGGGGAGTTCTGGCAGCATGGAGACAGCTGGTGCCTTAACGATCTTTGAAAGATCATGCGCTACAAAGGGGCTGAAATACAAAGATATGCTTGGAGATGGTGATTCGTCCACTTATAGTGCTATTCTAGAAAGTAAGCCCTATGGAGAGGACTGTATACCCAGCAAACTAGAATGTATTGGGCATGTCCAGAAGCGAGTCGGAAGCAGACTGCGGAGGCTAAAGAGTTCGAATAAAGGCAGAAAACTCTCAGATGGCAAAGGAATATCTGGCAAAGGTCGCCTAACTACTGGAAAGATGGATGTTCTACAAAATTATTATGGCTTGGCAATAAGAGAAAACCTTGATAATGTTGAAGAAATGGCTAAGGCTGTAAAGGCGTCTCTTTTCCACGTCGCGTCAACAGAAGAGAACCCGCAGCATCATCTTTGCCCGAAAGGTGAGGACAGTTGGTGTGGCTATCAAAGAGATTCCAAAACATACAAACATAAAAATGGTATTCCAAAGCCCATTGTTGAGTTGGTTGGGCCTATATTTGATGATTTGGCTGACCAGCTTTGTTAAAGAAGTGCACCCATGGCTTGACCCAGAATCCGAATGAATGTTTGAACGGGATCATCTGGGACAGATGTCCAAAGACTACATATGTAGAGCAGGAAACTGTAGCTCTTGCCACATACTTAGCAGTCTTAAAGTTTAATTATGGGGACATATCATATCTTAAAATTTTGGAAGACTTAGATATAACGCCTGGGTTCTTCACTTGTAAATGTGCCAAAGACTGCGAAAGAGCGAGGATCAAGCTGTCGGCCAGAAAGAGCTCAGAGAAAGTTAAGTTAAGAAGGAAATCACTGAGACACTTGAGGAAAAAATTTTTGGATAATGCCGAGGACAAGGAAGGGGTAACATATGAAGCAGGTAGCTTCTAAACCTTTATGTTGTGAGAAAAGCACCTTTGTGACACTGTACTATTGTAACTATTTACTGCAGGGAGTTGATATTTGGCATACTTACTAACTGTTACATCATCTATTATGTGAAGCTCTTCAATTTTCAATACTAATCATCCTTAATGAATTATAGGCAAATTTCCTTCATAATTGCCGGATTAAGAGTTGCAATAATTGAAAAATTCCAAAATATGGCTCTAATTTTTTTTAAAGATATTTCAAGAAAATTGAAGAGTGTCGCATAATAGGTTAGGTTCTAAGCTTTTCAAAAATATATTATTTATTTTATTCTGATGACTGGTTCTTGAGATATAATGTTTACGATGCTAAGCAATTACAGGTTAATTAACGACCGCCATATTGGATAATTAGTGTAATTAACGACTTTTTGAAAAAAATGTTTGCATTGGTCATTTTCTGTCACCTGTCCCTTTCAGAAAATCATATTTTTGCATAAATCTACTAAAAAATGAAAAAAAAAGTTTCAAGAGGAGATGGCCACCTTATGGTTGTCCACGAGCAAAGCGGAAAAGTCGAATACGAGCGCGAAAGGCTGCTCGGAATCGCTAACATATTAATGAGCGATTCCCAGCAGCCTTTCGCGCTCGTATTCGACTTTTCCGCTTTGTTCAGCTGTATATATATGTTTTCAGGTCAAAATGAAAAAGAAATATAAAATTTCCAGTAAGAAGAACTCATTCCGTTTGTATCAAAGCAGTACAGGTTTTACTAGCTGTAAACGGAAGAGCTGCAGTATGATCAATTCTGGAAATTTAATAATTGAGCTACGTCTATATAGAGACCCAGTCTGCGAAAGTGCTTAAATATGTATAATTCATACTCGAAATAACACGAAATGTTAATAAACATTTATACTGTATCAGTTTTCCCAGCAAGACTCCCTCAGGAAATCCAGTAAAGGGCACCCTCCATTATTTGGGTGCAGGGCCACTTTTGGCAGCAAGTCCCCCCGTGCCAATGTTAGCCCCTCTAGTGAAGTATATCTCTCCCCATCCAACTCCCACCCCGTAGAGAGGGTCCCGTTGGTCCCTTAAAAGGGTGTTTTAGTATTCTCATGACCAAACCTTTGTCTACCGATTGAAATGTATGCCAAAATGTTGTGTCTAAAAGTTCTAAAAGATAATGCCAAAAAATAAAACTCAAGAGACTTAATAAAACAATGCATGCAGTTCACCACGTCTCGGTTAGGTCCCCTTTTCCTGATGGCCCACACGGTACTCACAAATTCTAAAAAGATTTAAAAGCTAGAAGCCTTGGTGAGTGACTTCAGCCAGAAGAAAACTAGAAAAATTTGGCGGATATTTTATGCAATTTGAAGTGCAGCCCCACTATCTATCATATCCAAATATATCCAGTTTAAATTGAGTTAGATTATGAATTTTTGCAACCTACATATTTCAGTCAAACTACCGCATCCAGCTTCCTTTTTTCAAACTAGCTACCATAACTAGTTGGGCTTGCAATTGCTCCCCCCACCCTCAGTCAATGATTCTGCCGCTGAAAAAATTAAAGTAGCCTCAACCATTGGTCTCAACAGCCCATTCTGCCGAAAATGGCGTTCCTGTCACCATAAATTTTCAAATATTCCAAAATCATATGCACAAAATCAATCTGAATTTCTGAGCCGGAACGAGATTAAAAGTCATAGTTAAAGTTACAGTGAAATATTAAAAGTGAATTAGTTAAAGTTATAAATTCAATCTCACTTCCATATATTTCTGGCGTTTGGAGAAGCCTCGATAGCCCGCATTTTTCCTATTTGGAAGAAAAGTTTTTCCTTTGCCTCCCTTCAAGGCCCAACGCTAGCCTAGTAAAACTATCAACTTTTTTATATAAAAGATTAATTACAGTGCTTCTTCTGTAAAAGTGTAAGGCTGCATTCATGGCTGACTTTCGCACAATGTATTTAGAGTTGGCTCAATCAACAACGAAACATTTATTTTTTATAGGCAATTTGCGAATATATTGACCTGAACACAGCAAAATTGCAAAAATATATTTTCACATTCTGTTGCTGTAAAATGTCAAAAATACAGAGAAAAAGCTTGGAAATTTGAGCAAAAAAAGAAAATTGGAAAATTGACTGATGCTTCACGCATCTTAATTTAATGCTTGTTTCTTCAATCACTTTCCCACGGGTAATTCTTGTTGTCGGTTCCAGCGAATTCACTTTTACAGCGAGTAAAAGTGAAACCAATTCTTGATATATGGTTTTCAAACAATATTTTCACATAGCCAATTTTACTTTACTGCACGATAAAATATTAGCTAGAAATTAAAGTTTGCGTTTTGTGGGGAAGTAGCCTTTGTGTAATGAATCATAAAATTAAGCACAAAAAGAACGAAGGAAAATCTTTGAAAACTGATTTGACTCACTATATTAGAGAAATTGCCATGACCTCTTTGTGACATCGAACTAGTTCAAAACTAGCAAAAATTTGTTATTGGTTTGCTTTTAGAAAATTCTTAGTTTTGCGTCCGTGATAACACCTTACCTTGTTTACTAAGCCTCTTTTTCTTCCTCTCAATCCAATACCCCCACCGCCGGCTGAGAATAATGCTTCAATGTCGTAAGATATCACCAGGATTACCAGGAGAAAACAAAGTGTTTTTGCAGACATTTTGTAATATGATATTTTCGACTCGTGTTCTTCGTAATGGAGGTTCTCACTCAGCTGTTTCACCGTTTCGTTTGATTCGTATGACAGAAGGATTAGCCATTTATAAATCGCGAAGTGAGTATAATTAATGTTAATTTGAGTAATAATCAAACAAAACGTGGGTTTTTTTCCGGTGCAAAATCTCATTCATCATGCCTTTGTTCTTTTAAATATACCTGATATAGTGTGACGTCTAATGTTAAATGAAGTATACGTATATATTATACAGCAAGGCTTCGAAACAGAGGCGATTACAGAGTTCAAAATTCTGACTATCTAAATTTGACTGACATTTCATTTTTTCCTTGAAAATTGCAGGGAAGCTTTTTAAAGAGTAATACTGCATTAATTACCCATCGATCAAATTTCAATATTCACTCGCTTGTAAACTAGCTTCACGCTTGTATTAAGAAGTAATTATGACAAAATTGAGCAGCTTTAATTGCGAGTATAGCAAAGTGCGAAATGCTTTTTGACGTTTGTTGTCTAATTTGGCTGATATTTGAAGCAAATTGGGGGAAGCTGATCCAGCTGAATTTGTACGAGATATCTAAAACGCAAATTGCGGGGTGTAAGTCCATGTCAAGACTGCATGAAATGAAAAATAAAACTACAGTTGGGTATATGAATTTATTAACATTTTCTTAATAAATAGATATCAGATTATTGCAATTACTTTTATGCTAGGGCAGAAACTGGGAGGGAAAAAAATAAAAGCAGATGTTCTTTTACTGCCGATGCGCAGGAGAATCTTTTTTAAGCGTTTACAGTCGTCAATCAGTTTCCCATTTTCAATACTATGCTCTTCTATTGTTTATAAGCAAGGGTCAAAACCTGATAAAAATTTGTATAAATTTCACTAAAGATTCACTCACAATCATCATGGACCTAAATTTACGCTATATTCCGTTATTCCGTAACATTACTGTACATGGCAGGAACAGTAAACTTCATGCATGTATAGGATTCAGTTCGTATAATTATAAAAAACATGTCCAGTTGGTTTCAAGTTATGGTATCAATAGGTTATTGAAGCCGGTAATTTTATCATTCAGTTTGTAGTTGAGATTCTGTCCGCTTATACTTCAGTAATAACTTTGCCACAGGCAGATTGCGTCATATTGTCAGCTTGTGTCGGTTTCACTTCGACCGTATCGTAATGTACTGTAGCATTTTCTTTCGTGTCAAAGTCATCAGTTCCACTCTAGTGCTCAGGAAATGGCAAAGAAATATGCCTCGTTACGGTACGATATGCAGTTGAAGTGAAAAACGGCCTTTATAGTTACAGTAATAAAGCAATTTTATGCATAACAGAGCAATGCATTTCGGGGTTCGCTGGCGCAGTCGTTATGCAGAGCATGCAAGCGCCTTTCACCTACGAGATCGTGGGTTTGATTCTGTCTCGTTGTCCACGCAAGACATGCGAAAAGAGGCAGTCGACGCTCTGCCGAAAGTCATGGGTTTTCTCCCGCGGTGCTTCGTTTCCTCTCACGCTGACAGGGTGGGTAACGATAAACAAACTTAAGAAAGTAAATTAACATCACGATTGTTCTAAAAGATAAAATAGTCGTGGGGCCCATTGTAAGCAGGATGGATAATAACTTCTTCAACCTTTACAAATTGCTTGAAAAGCTATAAAACTCCGGTTAATCCCATAATTAACACTGAAAGCAACTTGAAATTTATATACTATAATTGGGTTATACCAGTCAAATTAAGAAAGGTTGATCCGGTGGATAGCACTATGCGGCTTTCGTATAATCGATCCTGGCACGCAGTATAAATAAAATCCTGATAGAACCATGCAAAAAATATCCCGGTTTAGCTATATATATATATATATATATATATATATATATATATATATATATATATTATATGATATATATATATATATTATATAACTGTTGGTTATATATATATATATATTGTTGGTTATATATATATATATATAACTATAATACATTCTTAATTTAAGAATGAAAATGTTCACAATTTTCGGAGAGTCTATTGTTTTGTGTCTTATTTCAACACTCTATTAGCAACCACAATTTTTATATCCACCGCCCCATCCCCTAGGAGGATTCAATGTTGTTTACCCGATCACACGCCAAAATAACGTGCTAACTGAGCCCAACATTGACACGGAGCGGGGGGGGGGGTCGAAGTTCGTTAAAATAATAGGCATTTGGGGCAGCTGTTCCAACGAATTCGAAAATAAGCGTCTAAAAATACCCGGCAAAATCCTGATATCACGAAAATTGGCCGTTCATGTTATATTAGCATCTGGCATTCCCCAATCTCATTGCATTATGTATCAAACAAAAGATTAATTATAAAAAAGTAAACTATAGAGCGAAACAGACTACAAAAATTAACTCGACATTTCCCATTTTTTAAAACAGACATGCGGGTGTCAATATTTGGATATTATATATTTTAAAGTTTAATGCCTGCAAACGAGTTCTCGGACTTCTGCATGATAATTTGTAATAAATTCCGAGCATATTATATACATTCAAAGGAAGTTCGAGTAGTGTTTAGTATTGTTTTAGTAATATCCAAGTTGCAACTGAATATCTAGTTCTAACAGTCAAGTGAAGGGCCTACCCCTCCCCCACATCAGTTCAGCCCTGTTCATTAACCGAATCTCTTACGATTTCGAGCTGAATATATATCTATTCATGCAGAGAATGTTTAGTTTATATTTTGTAACGTTATAATATCAACTAGCGATGGATTCTAATTCATATATTTGACTACCTTTACTTGTTTTGCGAAGCATATATGTTAAAAAAGCGGATAGAAAACTACCTGCGCGCCAGCAAACTAACTGACCTATTAATTTTAAATTCATGACTACTGTCATGGATACTAGCTATAGTTGTGAATAGAGTAAAGTTTTTTCGCATTCAAGTTATAGTAGCTATATTGAGATCCGAAATGGTTTCATTGTCTTTTAAGCTTGCCTTTTCGCCACAACAAAGTAATAGAAGTCAATGTTCTTTGTTTCAGATTTTTTCAATTTGTAGTTTAGACATTAATTGGCGTTGCAGAAATGGCGGCATGAATATTCAAATATTCCATCTCAGTGCGGCAAGGTTGTATTTATATAGGTTTTTCGACTAAATGATCACTTTTCGCCAAACGTTCACTTATTTTGGATTTGGTAATTGGTGATATTACTGACATTTTTAACAGACGACAACCATCAACACGCAGAAGCATAACTGACGAGTTTCCTGTCTAGTCATTTTATCATTTCGACGCTCGAAGATAAATCGACATTAATTGAAACATCGGACAAATCATGACAGCGTCAAAGACTCGTTAATGAGCATAAATTATATATTTTGTCATTTGTTTGACGTTTAAGTGCACATATAGAGGAAACTTCAGTCATATTTACTTTTATACATTAGCTTTTCAAGAAATTTCAAATATTAATTGCTTCTGTTTCTTGAATAATTGAAAAGATAACAAAAATTCCATATATATATATATATATATATATATATATATATATATATATATATATATATATATATATATATATATATATATATATATATATATATATTTATATCGCGTATTTACATGATGTTATAACCTATAGGTAACTTGAGCTATTATATAAAAATGTTTGACGTCATAAGGAAAGCGTAAACCTATGTCTGTAACCTGAGCTATTGGTTGCAAAGCAGGAATTTTTTCTTGTGCCTACATGCGGATATTAGTTCGTTTCTTGAGTTCAAAGAGCTTAATTTTGGATAGTAAATTATAATAGGTAATGTACGGCAATGATATCGGTCTGTACAGAGATGACGGCCTCGCAGCCTTTGACAAAACACCGCGCGAAATCGAGATCATTAAGAAAAATATTTGCAAAGTTTTCAGTGACAATAACTTGAAAATAACCATCGAAGCCAACAAAAAATGCGTCGACTACCTAGACATTACACTTGATCTTACAAGCCATATATGAAACCCGGAAATACACCGCTATATATCAACCACAACAGCAACCACCAGCCACCAATACTACGCAGCATGTACCAGACGCTATCAACAAGAGGCTATCAAATATATCCTCTGATAAGCAATCCTTCGAGTCGGCTGTGCCCCCATATCAGGAAGCCCTGCGAAAGAGCAGTTTTAACTATGTCCTCAATTACAATCCCCAGCCACCAAAACCTAAACGTAATAGAAACAGAAATGTGATATGGTTAACCCTCCCTATACAGCGCCAACGTTGCCACCCACATTGGCCACAAATTCCTGCAAGCTATTGATGAATGCTTCCCGCCAAACCATCCTCTAAATAAACTATTCAATAGGAACAACCTTAAGGTAAGCTACAGAGGAGGTCTCGTCAGTATACCACAATGCATTGCGGTTTTGGACCATTGTATACATATTATCAATTCTCCGGCGCAGCTCGCTCAGTGTTCGTTGGCTGTCGTTGTAAACACATCTCAGAAAATCTATCGTTTTAGAAAATGGCGCATATTTTTCGCTCCTGGCATGGGATTAAAGCTTCTCTTTTGGAAGCAGTGAAGCACCTCATCTGATTTATGTTTGTTGGATCCTCACAGCCTTTGTATCTAGCCCCTGATGGAGTAACGTGTGTTGAGCAGTGCCGTAAGATTAACGTTAGTTTCAGCTGAGAAGCCTGAAGCCATGCAATTTTTCTATCAACTGTGAATGGGGTTAAAGTTGCCCAAATGTTTACCGAATGATGCATTCTAGTTGTGTTTTTAAGGTGAGCTTTTCACAGTAAGAGGTTATATTGAAGTTATAGATATTCGAGCGAACTTTGTAGAAACATCAAACATGCACAGCCTCAATAAATATGGATAAGATTTATATCAAATTTGCCATGTTTTAATAGGGTATTATAAAATTGCCATATATAATAAATGTAACTAACACCAGTTATATCGACTTCAGGAATAATATTCACTACAGAAACTTCATAACAAGTTTTGGAAGCCACTTTTAGGGCATGCTATATATAGGAATTTGTACAATCTTTTATACAGTATCTCCTGAAGTTATTCTGACTATATATAAAACTGATTTGTTCTTGTATATCTTGCATTAGTTCTTCGACTTGGATGACCCTGGCAAAGAGAATATTCAATACATGTAATATTTTGTGGGAATTTGATATTCTACCATGATCACCATCAAGTGATGGTCAAGAGTTGGATGCTGTATTCCACCACTAAATCAGTAAAAAGACAAGCACCATGTAATTGCTACCATCAACATATGAATTCTGTCTGCTTAGTAGATCTACCACCTCACTGAGAGTCAACAGATAAGATGATGAAGAGGTACATGTGATATTGATGAGACAGAGATTTTATACCCAGGTTTGAGGTGTATGTCTGTATGCCATCAGACAAATTAAACTAACAGACAACCATAAATGGTAAAATATATAACTCTGTGCAGCCACATACAATTCTGGCAAACGACGGTCGCTGGTTATAAACAGAATAAAGACACAAGTCAATTGATTTTGAAATTATTTTGTTGTTAGAAACAGCACTTAAAATTTTAAACAGCATATTTTATGAAATGTTGCACTATTTCCAAAGTATAAGGTTAGAAGAACAGGAAACAGTACTTTTAATGTGCCTACCCCTATCTAAACCTACTGTATAAAATATTATCTAGAGTCATAAAATATTAAAATTATTTATACCTATTTATATATTTACATGTTAACTGCTTAACTTATTTATTTTTTAAAATTATGATTTTACATTATGGGTGCACCAGAACTCGGTTCCAGCCGGTTAGTTCCTGCTGGAACTCCGATTTTTCAGAGTTCCAGCTGGAACTAATAAAAAAAGCATGACCGGAACTGGAACTCTGTTGTTTTCAGAGAGATAGAATATCATACGTTTTTGTGTCAAACAAAAGTTCACAGTAGGAAGGAATTTGGACTACACAAGGAAAATGTACATGATGTTTAAAGTTTGTCAATCTTTTTATTCTCACATTTGCGAGCCCTCCTTGATGACTTGAAGTATCTGCCAGCAGACAAAGTAACATATGACTATACATGGCTTAATAAATCAGTTCCGGCCAGAACTTTTTCGCAGTTCTGGCAGGAACTTTAAAAATTGGTTCTGGTGCACCCCTATTTTACATATTACTACAGCATGGCTTAATGTCAATAATATATACTATGGTGTAATGTGAAATAATGTAAAACTGATGAAGTATGAATAAAGTTTAAAATATGCCTTATCATTGCTTTACTGGAGAGTCTGTATTATGAATGAGATGCTATGAGTATTCTCCAAATGGCTTGCCAATTTTAATACACTTTCCAATGTGGGCAATGATTGACCAATGTCTGCAGGTTGTGGTGTTTCAGTTCGCATTGTGATGTCGTTTGGTTGTATGTCTCAGATTCAACATTTACAAGCTTGTGTGTTTTGGTAAAATGATCTTTTCTGTTGTCAATTACAAGCTCAGCCAAACTGTCATATATAGACAAGCCAAAATATGATGAGATTCAGCCTCCTCCAAGGAAACAAATCTTTTTCTGTCGGAATTGTATACCCTTGACCTTTAAGTCGACTATCTGAAAGACAGAAAGATAAAATGAAACAAGTTAATTGTACTGTTCTGAAATATATATCAGGTGTTGATGGAACATTGGCCATTTTATTATAGAGAGATATGAAGTGATTATGACTATGGGGTCATTCATAGCATAATTTTGACAAGAATACAGCCTAATGAGTAATGCTAGTGAATGGAGTTCATAAGATGTCAATGACATATCCATGCAGCATCATTCCTGAAATTCAACAAAAGTACACACAGGGAGGGGGGCTCTTAACCTTTCAAACTGAAAGCATAGTGACCACACACCCTCACCTGCCCAATAATTTCTAACAGCATCATGGGCAGATTTACTGGGGGGGGTGTGCCCTAGAATCTCTCTAACCCCTCTTATAAAGTGTTCAACCCCAAAATTTTGCTTCACCCCTCCTATTTTGTGTGAAGGTCTTTAATCCTAATGCCCAACCCCTGCCGAAGCTCGCTCAGTGGTGCCACTTACACCTCACTAGAAATTTTTCCACTCCTTTAAAAAATATGAAAATCCGCCCTTGAACAGCATCTTGATGATACTCGTATACCTGACTCCAGTGGTGGAAAATAGGGGGGCGATGCCCCCCCTAATAATTTTAGCTAGCTTTCATTTTGAAAAATGTAACATGCGGGCCAGATGCTATACCTGGCCAATAAGGAGCTCCCGTAGCCGGATGACATCAAAAATCACAGGTCTAGGTGCACTTGCTTGGGTATTACTACTCGAAACATATACACGCTTAGCAGTATTCTCATTAGCAACATCACGAGATTACATTTCATAGCAAATCATAGAGGTATCCTATTTTATATTAATACAAACAAACAACATTGCTTTCTCCAGTATAAACTGTAAATATCAGTCTTAAACAAGCTATTGTCTCTTTAATACTTCATCAATATAATAGAAAATGGATAAGAACATTTGATAAAGGGTACGAACTCATGTTCCTATATATCAAAACTGAAAAATAACATGATTGCAGGCCATTGCATGATGAATTGAATATCATTGTGTTTTCGCGCCATTTCGCGCAGTAACCGGAATGTCGCGTGTTTACGCATAGTTTGAATCTGATTTGAATAAATCAAGCACCAAATACCCCATTTTGAAAAGCCATTAACTTCTCGGTTTGAGGGGTCGTTTTTGATTTCTTGGTATCATTTGAAAGAATAACTTCTCTTCTATGTACTGGTACGATTTTTTTCGACATTTTCTATTTTAAACTATAAACGACCCCATCATATATTGAAGCCAATTTCCAGCCGTGTGCAGTGACCCGGAAAATAGGTCAAAACATATGCAAATTATTCGCCCCAAAAGTATCAAATAACCCAAATAAAATATTTAGATAGTAAATTTCAATACCCAAGAACATATTTTTAATAAATACCTTTGAAACTTTCGTGATTTTCAGCGAGAAAAAATTCGATGAAAACTCCTAATTATTTCGTCGATCGCACGCGAAATTCACAATTGAGAAAAAAATCCGCCGCAATGCATCACGGTATAGTGACGATTCCTCCTCTGGGTAAGCTACAGCTGTATGCCCAACGTGCGCAATATCATTACGACGCACAACAGAACCGTACTCGATTGCAAGCAGCCCGAGGCAACTAAAAATCCCGATAGGAAGTGCAATTGCCGCCAGGAAGAATCCTGCCCCCTCCCTGGCAAATGTTTAACCGAAAGTGTTGTGTACCAGGCCACAGTAACGAGAGAAGACAACCACCAGAAAGAAACCTACGTTGGACACACAGCGGGTCCATTTAAAGTGAGATATTACAACCACACAAGCTCGTTCAGGAACCCGGAACATAAACATTCAACCGAACTGAGTAAATATATTTTGCAGTTGAACCAGTCGCCACAGTCCATCAACCTAATTGCAAGATTGGAAAAAGTTCAAAGGCGTGCCACGAAATTTATTCTCAATCTGCCGTTTTCCAGTCAAGACAGTTATACCTCGCGATTACAGTCTTTATCATTACTTCCATTATGTTACTGGCATGAGTTAGTTTGGATTTGGTTTTTTCCTTTAAAATGGTGAACAATCTGGTAATAATAAAACCTTCTGTAGTACCAAAAATTCGAAGCTCCAGACCGACCAGATCGTCAAGAAAAAGGACATACCTAAGTTTGTCATTCCCAGGAGCAAAACAACGACGCATCAACGCTCGTTTCTAATTCGAACAACCAGGGTGTGGAACAGCCTAGCTGACGAGCTGAAACTTAACATGATAAATTTGAACTCATTTAAATCTACTATTCTAAGCTATTACTTCCGTGCTTTGGAAATTTCCGACGATCCTGAAAATCCAAGAACATTCAAAACTATATGTACCAAGTGTAATACCGCTCGAACTCTGGTTAAGCCTCTTAAGTGCTGCTATTAGTTATAGTTTTATTTAGATAGTTTTTTTTTTATGTTTGTATGTCCTAATTCGGGCCCGCAGTAATTGGCTCGCGCTGTTGCGGTCACCCTGCCTATAGTCATGTATTGTAATATGGCGAAACTAATAAATAAATACAATACAATACTCTATCCGCTGGAAAATTTTAAAGAAATGTAAGGCCTACTCAAACAAAAAAAAACGTTGCAAATTATGCCTGCACGAAAAGTTTATTATAATTTACTATCCTCAATTAAGCTCTTTGAACTGAAGAAACGAACTAATATCCGCATGTAGGCACAGGAAAAAATTGCTGCTTTGCAGCCAATAGCTCAGGTTACAGACATATGTTTACGCTTTTCTGATGACGTCAAACATTTTTATATAATACCTTAAGTTACCTATAGGTTATAACATCATGTAAATACGCGATATCATCATTCACCTGATGAGTGTGGCAAGCTTAGTTTGCCATACGAAACAAATTTGTCGTGAATAAATGTTTTAAACGATGTAACTCAAGTTTGTCTTTCATTTGCTCAACTTACGTATCGAGCACTCTATTCGTATGATTCGACACTCAATATACTTATTGACATTCGCCTATATATATATATATATATATATATATATATATATATATATATATATATATATATATATATATATATATATATATATATATATATATATATATATTCGTTTTACCTCAAAAAACCACGGCAGTCTGTTTCATCCGTATAGGAATATATATATATATATATATATATATATATATATATATATATATATATATATATATATATATATATATATATAATCACTTTGCCTTCGACGAATAATTGATAAATATTGCAACCTCGTCCCCAGGGTCTTCCTCGTGGTGGCGCGTGAGCTGAGGAAGACCCTGGTAAAATACGATGAAATCTCCAAGATTCTTGGAGATTTATCGCATGCGCAGTAACGACAACGTTATGTTGCTGACTACAATTAGCGCTGGCGCTTACGATTTTCTTGCTTGAAAATATACATGTTTTGTTGATTGTTTATGGATTTATTCTCAAAGTTTTAACAACTTTTACGAAAAATTCTTCAGATATAAGCTGTGAACACACATGTACACAAAACTGTGCAACATTTATGATCATATTGTATCAATTTGTCGGAGTATAGCGCTCAAATTTGTGACATTGTTTTGTTCGCTTTGGCAACCCTCGTATATATCAGATGCTGTTCGGCCTCAAATGCGACTGAATAAACACTGATAGTGTTGCCTGGAATATGAAATGATATTGACTTATTGTTCTGTATATCAAGGTATGTAATGTACATTTATACTGAATTTATTCGATTTTTTTCACACGTTGCTTTCACATTTTCTCAGAGTCTCGGAAATCACATTTTCTAATAAACTCAGATTTCACACATACAGCAAGACTTCTTCAGAAATCACAGTTTTTAACATATAGAAAAACTTCATATTATCTCATCAGTTAATCAAATTATGATAACAGTACGTAGTAGAAATGCTTAGAAAGATTTTATTCTGTTTTCCATATACAGTGTACAACTGTTATTTCAATTTTCTCTTTCCTATATTTTCTTTAAAGCAGGTACTGTTCTGTTACAAAACAACTAATAAACATTTTATTATTTTAACAGGTGAACCATATTTTACATGAACTTGGGGAAAAAAACAACTTGAATTCCATGTAAATATATATAATCATGTCATCAATCAGATAGTAAACAATCATTAAGATGGCCTCAAGATTATATTTCACAGTGACCAACATGAAAATTTTTAAATGGGAATTAGTTGATGGCATTATAGTTTTCTAATGCTATATAATTTTGTTCATCAAGGTGAAGAAACCTTAACTCACTATACCTTTTCCTGTTACAGAGCTATGGTAGTAATCTTAGAAGATTTTCATGATCCCTCTATTCTAGTAGTTCTTTAACCAGTCTGGTATTATGACTGTATTATGTTAAATAGCCTTGTGTGACTTTTGTATTTTGTTTCTTTAATAATATTTACAATGATCAAAATTACAGTTTAATCTTTGTATTTCTAATGATAATTACTTGCACATATCCATCACGCTTCTCTGTTACTATTAAACTTATTACTATCATGCAAGTAAAATCTCTTGGGAAAAATAAATGTTGTCCCAGGATAGTCATAAATATCAGCTAGTAAAACTAATGAATATACCTATAATCATGTACATATGACTATCATATAATATGTTGTAATTCCTTTAAGTGTTTCCAATTAAATAAATTTCTATTTTCAGTTGTTCATTGTTCAAACTAATTTGAAACCTACAGTATATGTAGTTGCTATGATTCAGATTAATATCCAAAAGTGTGCTTATTACTTCAGTCCTTATAGACTCCTCCCTAATACAGACACTTTATTGTGCCACTCCAATGTTCATTTAAAGTGATCCAACTGACATCTGAGCTGGTGATAATATACAACAAAATATTGGAAGTAGGAGTATATCAGATAAGTTGTTCATTCAGTTGATCATCATATCAAACTCCATCACATATTGTGCCTTAAAAACATATATACAAATTTAAGTTGTTGCAGCACACTGGGCCATTCCATCTAATATAGCCCCCCCCCCACCCTATTGAGGGGTCTCTTCATAATACCTTTTAATAATTTTGGAACCCCATTGGATGCAATTTTGGAACCCCTATGGATGTCTTTCTACCCTTTAGGATATTGTTCCTGCCCCTTTGGATATCACTAAAACACCTAATTTTTAGGAAATCTCTTAAGCTACCCTCCACAAATATTTAAGGTAAAACCCCCCTCTATAAAATCCTCATATAGGATATCCAGACCTCAATAGACAATAGGGGGGGGGGCTATTAAATGGAATAGCCTATTTGGAATGGTGAGTGGTGACTACCAAGGAAAATGAAACATGCTGGCCTGCTTTACATACAGAATAAATTTTGAAGCATTTCTACTGTTACTTTAACGATAATCAGATTTGATGAGAAAATATGGAGTCTTTCTGTATGTTAGGGCCATCCATTTAATGTCCACCCCTCCCCCCCTACGGACAAGTTTTTCTGAAGGGTGACTCAAAAAGTCGTTTCTGAGGGGTTAAGCATGTCGGCATCCTTTGATCTCTGCGATTTTTCTGAGGGGTAAGGGGAAAATTTACAAATTTCTGAGGGGTGTTTTGTGTCGGCACTTTGATCTTTTTTTCTTAGGGGTTAAAATTTTACTGACCTCATCCGTAGGGGGGGGTGTGGATATTAAATGGAATGGCCCTTAGTGATGTGGATCTCATTGTTCATAAAGCTGAAATAGTTCAGTTGAAACTCGTGTGAAAATAAATCCAGTATAAATGTACAGTACGTACCTTGATATACGGAACAATCATTCAATATCGTTTCATATTCCAGGCAACACTATCAGTGTTTATTCAGTCGCATTTGAGGCCGAACAGCATCTGATATATACGAGGGTTGCCAAAGCGAACAAAACAATGTCACAAATATGAGCGCCATACTCCGACAAATTGATACAATATGATGATGAATGTTGCATAGTTTTGTGTACATGTGTGTTCACAGCTTATATCTGAAGTATTTTTCGTAAAATTTTTTAAAACTTTGAGAATAAATACATAAACACTCAACAAAACATGTATATTTTTAAGCAAGAAAATCGTAAGCGCCAGCGCTAATTGTAGTCAGCAACATAACGTTGTCGTTACTGCGCATGCGATAAATCTCCAAGAATCTTGGAGATTTTATCGTATTTTACCAGGGTCTTCCTCAGCTCACGCGCCACCACGAGGAAGCCCCTGGGGACGAGGTTGTAAATATTGTTATTCTAATGACTTTCACAGCCATCTTCCCTTAAATAGGCTATGACCAATCATAGCACTTGATCACTGG